TCTCAAATCATTTAGGCTCACAACATCCACTCTCTCCATTAATTATTTCACATAATCCGTAGAAATATAAGGTTAAATTCTTCTGTTACTCTGAGTAAAATAGTTCAAATTTTAATCAAAAATGCAGCCAACTAGTTAGAGTTAAGTAAACAGTGTTTTTACTTCCTCCTATAACCCTTATACCGGAGATGAGAACCATTAAATATAAAGCAATCATATCAGGGGGCCAAAATGATCCAATTCGCGCTAAAATTTCCAGCCTCTTTGCTAAGACAACTGATGGATAAGTTTACTTACCGGCAGGTGCGACTTTATTGATGCACCTAAGCCCCTTAGTTAAGAGCTTGCATCCGTCGCCTAATAATGATGCTGACAAATATTTTATCAGATCCTAAATGTACCAGTAAACAGACTCTGACTACTGGTCGCTCTTCCTCATATCTAGCGCAAGTCACCGTGTTTAGTGCACCTTAACACCCCCCAGATTATGCTACTACAACTAGAAATGCTTGACAACTATCTGAGGGTTCATAAAAAATATATCTCTTTGAAAATAAGCTTCTCTAAGTCCTTTTCATTTTCCTCTATTTGATATGTTTACGAAGGAATATTCGTGTCTTGGTGAATATAACGAAGTGCAGATCTAAATGAGCTATATCTCTCTTGACTATTCTAATTAAGTGTTTACCCTCAAATCTTTTCCGTTTTATATGATAAACGTACTGAATGATAGATGTTTGTTTAGGCCTAAATAATACTGATACTTTTATTAATAATAAATAATACTAATAAACTCAAAGGAATAGACAAAATAAATAGGCTAAGCAGACCTGGTTACCTTTTTTTACAGCTTTATATGAGCTTGAATAGGCATAGATGCTATCGAAATCATAGAAAAATAGTAATTTACTGTGCAGTATATAAATAAATAAAATCAAACATGGTGGTGGTACATCATTTTTGTTAAAATGTGTTTGCACTAAATTATAAATTTCAGTAAATGCTGAATTTTCTTAGAAATAAAACAGGTTGAAAATAAATAAACTTGATTCATACTGGGGAACGCGTGTTGAACAAAAATATAAGGGCTAAGTTTCATGCCAGTAGAAAGAATATATACCATTCGTAGACTAGACGTTTGGTATATAAGACTAGAGCCCAACTTTACTACAAATCACTTGAGTGCCATTAGTTTATCTAATTAGGGCATGACTTCATTATCAACACTGCCAAGTGGCACTTTTCGTAGAGCTCGATTAAATAGTTGATACTTTTTACGTCCGCTATAGTTTCTAATATAGTTATTTGGGCACAAGACTGAACTTGAGTTGGCACATTTGGGCATTTTAAAGATGTCTGTTACCGTTGCATCTATCGGTAACAAATGCTTAAATTACATTTTTTTTCTTTGCTCACTTAAAAGATGCGATTGACTACAAATATTTGGAAGAAATTTGAGCTTCGAGGAATCTCTTTTTTCATAATTGAGGTGCTTTCTTCCATTTCGAGTTAAAGTGAAGAGATTCGAAGGTCAATTCCACCAGAAGACGACGGCAGCTTCCTCTTGAGCATCTGTCGATTGACTTTATTGGAACATTCATGCTGACGCTGTTTCTGAGGTGATCTTCTTCGATTCCGATGAAAAGGTGTTAAGCTTCATCGAATCTCTTCTCCAAACACTTTCACTTTAAATGGAAGTAAGCACAACAATACAAATATTTCGACAAATAAGCCAAAATCCTGGCCAATCTTATTGTCAGATTGCCATCCAAATAAACTCCATCCGTGTCACAATTATGGTGAAACCAAGACCATCCGCATGTCGAACGCTGCCTTTTGGGTTAATAACCTAAATATTGGGGGTGTATTTGGTGAATATAGCAAGAAAATGACTGTCTCACTTAGTTCGACAGTCCATTCAGATCTCACTTGATATAGAATCCAAAACATCACTATGCTATACGACGGCAAGAAAACAAACGGCCTCTTTACCACAATGCTGCTCAGCTGTGGGGCCAATGTGACTTTTGCCATGACTAAGCCAAGCCAGTTGTTCCCATTTTGTTTGGCTTCTCCTCAATACTATCCTAAAGTAGGAAAGTATTGCGATTTTTCTTTCTTGTTCTCGACCATTGTGCTGCTATACTGACTGCCCAGTTTTTATTCTCTTTATGATTGGTCGATGAGACCCGTACTTGGCTGAAACTTCATTTTGCTACAGATCTACTATCAAAGAACGTAGTTGAATTCAAAAGTGAGTCTTTATTTTATTTATCCACAGCCACCATTTGGTGGTAGATGGGACACTAAATTAATTCTGATATTTATTGACTTCATTTCATATCTCTTAGTAGTTTAGGCACCGGTGAAATCATTACAGGTACTATTTTATTTTACTTACCCACAATATTAGATACCTATTATTTTTGGTGGGTGGGAAACCAAATGTATCCATGGTCTGGACCCTTATCAAATATTTCGTTTATCAGGCGAATGAGAGCACTATTTCAATGGGGGATTGATAAGTTCCATCAGAAATGTTACGTATTTAGTAATAATTATTTGATTACGGAGAAGAAAACTTACTTCTCCATACTGGCCGCCATCTACTTGGCTCTTAATCTCGGCCTCCTGAGCAAAATCCTCTCCGGCAAGACGGCGATGGGCCAAGGTTAGTTCCTCTTCCAACTGCCTCACACGATCTATCGTGACCCTTAAACGCTGGCGCACCTTTTCATCCAGTGCCTTGTGGTGCTCGAATAAT